CGACGCGAACAACACACACCAAGATCCCAGAAATCCTCATCTCCAACTCTTCTCTTCTTCACCAAGAACTCGTTGAAGAATACCTGAGGAGATCTTAAAAAGATATGTCGCTCAAAATTAGCTTAAAACCATAAATTTTGCATACCAATTGCTCCGGGGGCAAAAGCGTCCGTCTCTCGGGAAGCAGAATCATGCCCAACATAGTTGGGTGCTTGGGCACGAGCTCAAAGGTGCCCCCTTCAGAAGCAGCGCTCACATGGTGGGTGCTTGAGTGCCCAAGCCCAACGCTTAGGCACCGGGTTCTCTGTCTTCCCTGGGTGGTTTAGCTCCACAAAACTAACAGAGTGCAGTTTTTGCCTTGATTTCTAAAAGGTACTGATTCATAGTTTTTTTTTCCCATGCTTAGATTTTGAAGTTCATTCCTCAGCTAAATGATGCGAGAGCAATTAGATGACTGAAGGCGTCACTCAATGGTTTTCCATATTTCATGGCATGTTTCTAGAGGTAGGACATAAGGTAGAATGAGAGGCGAGATAACAGAGATGAGGGATGCTGCCAAAATTTGATCTATGAGCATTGAGGAGATTGCGGGTGGGAATAGGAGTTCCGTTCTCATCCGTAGTGTGTCGAGCAGGGCATAAACAATTACCATCAAGGAATATGTGGTACCCATTTGCTCTAAAGAATTTAAGGACTTGTGCTTTCCATGTTGGGTGGTTGTTGACAGTGAGTTGGGATGAGATAATGTTTTTGATATTGCTTAGGTTGAACTTTAGCTGGGACGGGATTAGGGATGTCCATAAGCAGGTGATTGACCTGGTAGGAGGTATTGCCACCGGTGGAGGTGCCTGAAGAGGATGAAGCCATCGGGAAGACGATCAAGGAACCAGAAAAGCTGAGGTCGTGGGACAGAGATACTGAAAAAGAGTTTTTTCCATATAGTATCAAAGCCATCGGGAAGACGATCAAGGAACCAGAAAAGTTGAGGTCGTGGTAAAAAAAACCCTGATACTATATGGAAAAAACTCTTTTTCAGTATCTTGCAGCTTGTACAGTGATGAATATATATAGAAAATATGGTTATAAAGTTTGTTGTTAAATGGATGGTGGGAATTGATCTCTTTTAGGAGATAGTTTGGATTGGCCCATGTGTCTTTTTCAGTTATGCTGCAGCAGGAAGGTGGAGCCATATTCTTTACAATGTCCGCACCAAGTTTTCTAATATGTGGCGACTCAGCTCAAACAAGTATGGATTAGTGTAGCAATAATATTTCTGAAGCATCAGTCCCAGAAGTTCCTCTCTATTGATCCATATGTCTGATGTTTGGTCGATATTTTCACTGTATAAGATAACTATGATAGGTGTGACCTCTGGTGACTATTTTCCATTTATTTAGAGTAGGATTAATTTGTTCACTCCTCTCACCAAAATTCAATGTGGTGCACTAAATTTCTCGAGCAAATTATTGCTGAGATAGACACAATAATCACTATTAATTCCTAGATAGTTCTCAGTGATCATCCATTTTCTGGGATAGAGCTATATGCATGATTATTATTATTATTATTTTGTAGGCCAGGATATAGTTGTAGATCCATATGGTTCATTGATGGAAGTCACCCACAATCAAGATAAGGGTGAGTCAACAGCAAGGAAGGCTCCTTTGACTTCCTTGGTTGCTTATGTATTTCTCAAGTGCTTGGGTTAATTATTGAGCATGAACTCCATTCATCCCACCAGCTTCAGTGTAAGCTTCAATAAACTCAAGTAAGAAACAAATGATTTCTTTAATCAAAACGGAGAGAAAAAGGTTCTACAGGAGAAGGCCATCCAGAAAATTCAAAACAAAAAGTTCAAAGTAAACGCCCACAACCTAAAATGTTTCCCTGGCTTCCCATCAGAAAAAGGCTTCAAAGGGACTCCTCTTCTATTACAGTAATATTGAGAGATGAGAAGAAATTTTACTGTACAAAATTAAAAAAAAAGGTGGGGTGTAAGCAAATCCTAGGAAAAGCAACCCAAATAAGAGCGATGGTTCCATGGATTAGTTAAAGTGAGAGACAAACTTAGCATATGTAGGCAGAAAAAGTTTAAAGTGAACTGCTTCTAAAGATAAACATGATAATAATATAACCATCAAGAATCTCGATAGAATAAGCTCTAGTCAACTATAAGTCCCACATAAATATACATATAATCTCTAGACTGAGAAATACAAAAAAAATATGCCCACATTAGAAAAAGAGAATGAAATCTCTAGTTCAAGAATCTCAACTATAACGAAGAAAGAACAAATTTATCATGCAAACACAATATAAGATCAACTTTTACCTTTTTAACTTTTGATAAACTTTTCAACGAAATTTCTGAAAATACGATCGATCGTAATGATCTTAATATCATTAATAATAATAAATATTTCATTTTAACTATCGCATTAAAAAAAAAGTTGAGGAGACTTTAAAGAAAATTGCGGGTGGAAAGTCTGTAGGACCTGATGATATCTCAATTGAAGTGTGAAAATATTTAGGAGACTTAGAGAGTTTCTTAGCTTACTAAATACTTTAATATTATTTTGAAAACTAAAAAAATGCTTGACGAGTGGAGGAAGAGTATTTTGATCCTCATTTTTAAGATAAAAAAAGATGCACAAAAGTGTGTAAATTATGAAGGAATTAAGCTGATGTGTCATACTTTAAAGTTAGGAAAAGTGTAATTGAATATAGGTTAAGTCGTGATACAAAAATTTCTCATAATCAGTTTGGATTTATACCGGGCAAGTGTACTATGGCGCCTATACATTTATAGAGAAGTTTATGGAGAAGTATTGAGAGAATAAGAAGGATCTACATATTATTTTTATTTATTTAAAAAAAGTTTATGATAAGGTTCCAAGAGTTGTAGAGAAGAAATGTGTTGATATGACTTATATTCAAGTTATTAAAGTTATGTGTACTAGAGCTATTACTTGTGTTTGAACAGAAGGAGGATTGCCCAAGTATTTTCCCATTTCAGTTGGACTACATCAAGGATCGGCTTTAAGCCCATATCTTTTTGCTTTAGTTATGGATGCTCTTACTAGACATTTATAAGAGGATATACCTTGGTGTATGTTTTTTGTTGATGATATCCTTCTTGTGGATAAGACTAGAGTAATAGCTCAGGAAAAACTTGAATGATGGAGGCCTACATTGGATTCTAAAGGCCTTTGTTTGAGTAGAACTAAAACTAAATACATGGAGTGTAATTTTATTAGAAGTTTATGGGTGATCAAATCATTAAGAGGTGTGAATGCTTTAGATATATGTGATATATTGTTCAAAGTGATGTCGATACAAATGAGGATGTTAATAGTAGAATTCAAGTTGGTTAGTTGAAGTGGAGAAATGCTTCGGGCCAATTGTGTGATAGAAAAGTACCGCTTTGAAAGGAAAATTTTATAACATGGTGGTAAGACCTACAATGCTCTATGGCGCAAAATGTTAGCCTTTAAAAGATAAGCATAAGATAAAGTTAAGTGTTGTTGAGATGAGAATGCTTAGGTGAATGAGTGGCTTAACACTTATAGACAAAATGCAAAATAAATATATACGTGATAGGGTTGGTGTAGCTCCAGTGGTGGACAAGATTATAGAGAGTCGTCTTAGATCATTTGGTCACATTAAACACCGATCATCTGATGATCTCGTTAGGAGAGTAGATGTTTTAGGATTGACTTATGTTAAGAAAAACAGAGACATATCTAAAAAGACCTAGAAAAACTTGGGCATATTCTATAAAAAATGATCTTAATTTATTAGAAATAAATTTAAGTATGACACTCAATAGACGCAATGGAGAAAAAGGATTTTAAGTATGACACTGAATAGACGCAATGGAGAAAAAGGATTCATGTAGCCGACCCCACTTAGAGGGAAAAATAAAGGCTTGTTGTTGTTGTTGAGTTAACATGTTAGGTCAATTTCGACACATCTATCGTGGTTAAATCGGAGGCCGCGAGAATATATAATAGTAAAGGAATAACTCCAATAAAAGGAAAACACGATTCAAACCCCGATGGGACACAAATGACATGGGCAAAAAGGTTCAAGCCAAGAATGAGTACTATGAGATCACATGCCAACCAGATCAAGCAAAAAACACCATCGAAAAAAAGATGCTAATGGGAGTGATTATGAACAAATGCAAGTAGATAGCGAAGATGTGGAGAATGGTTAACGAACTAAAGAGGTGGGGATGCTATTTATTATGAAAGTGATGAGCCCAAAACATAGACTTGATGCTAAGGAGCATGCTAGCAAGGAATAAAGGATGCCCAGCCCGGGCAAGCAACACAGGCCGAAATAAGCCAAGCAATGAGAGATAAGCAAGCACAAAAAGCACATAACACGAGGAACCCAAGCACGAATTAGCAATTTAAACATTCATCGAGAGTAAATAGCATGGTTTGCATCATTTGGTGTGTTGGCCTGAAGAAAGAACATGTGAATTATTTTAGGAAAAGCCTCACTAATTCATATGATTAATCCATACAAGAATATAAAAGTAAAGAAACTACTTGAAAATTCATTAGAAGAATTCTGTCTTCGATAATTTCAGCAGACAAAATCTGAATCAGCAATCACCAGCAAAATGATCTAGAGGCATTTACATGCATACATCCCAATTCCTATGTATTTATACATCTAAAACCTAAAATTCATTTTCTACATTTATACCACCAAGATCGTTCATATCAAATAAAAAACAACTCCATTTCAACTTTAAAAATGTGAAATACACCTTTTCAGCTTAAATGAGGTGTTATGTAGGTAAAAAATTAAATTTTTGGTGTTAGATATGTAAATACATAAGACTAAGTGGTAGATATGTAAATCTTCCAATCATTTTTAGCCTGGCCAGCCAATATTTTAAGAACAACTCAGACAAATATGCTGAAGCAACTTGAATGCTTCAAAGATAGAACTACAACAATAACAACAACAAAAAAAAATCTGAGTAATTATTTTATTCATAAGCTTAATGAGAAATGTACACATTCTTAAAGGCTAATTAAATAACACATTGAAAAGATTAAAACAGTAAGCATGAACTACAATTGCAGTAAAGAAAAAAAGGCCTTATACATCATAAAGGCAGGTAACCGAAACACGCCTTTACCTTGCAGATCTAGAAGATAAACATCTACTGCAGGTTATAAGTTTCAGCAGGGATCTTGGATTCTTCGTCTTTTTTCTTGAGAGAACAAACTGCAGAAAATGAAGCTAAATCACACGCCTGAACAGCATGGGAAATTAAAAATGCATATCAAAGTAAATATCCTTCACAATTTAGAAGAGAAATTTATGGAAGTAGCACACACTTCTTATGTAGTTACATATCTCATCCTAACCCAACCAAACTTGAGCCTGACTTGAATCTTGCACAAGATGACCTGAATTCTACTTTTTTGTGCTATGTTCAAACCAAGAAAGCCTCCATATATATATATATATATATATATATATATA